GTGGCTTGACTGTTACAGCCCACGGGCTTGCATACAAATCGTGTTACGGGCAAGGCAATGGCTGACACAATGCAGATGAGAGCAGGGAGAGGAGGTGTCACATGCCCGAGTGCCAGCCAAACATCAAAGTGGCAGACTCTTTTGGAGGAGATGGAAAATGCCAACAGATACAGTAGCTTTTTTTTTTTTTAATCTTCCTCTGAACTGGTGATAATAGCGCTAACCCTTACTTTCTCCTGTATGTTATCTCTTGTTATGTAACCGCCCAGAATTGTAATGGTTTAAAATAACAAACGTTTGTCCACGCTCAGAAGCCTACCTGTTTCCCAACCAGCTCTCCTGGGCCTCAGCTGGTGTCAGTTTGAACTCAGGAGGCAGCTGTTGTAGACGGCGGCTGAGCACTATCCTGTGTGTGGGGCTGTCTGGCTAGAGGCTATGTTCCTCAGTCTTCCTCACCTGGGCTGCCTCCCATATGCCAGCCTGGGCACGTTTGCCCTCAGTCAACCACCCGACACAGTAGTAACTTCTACTGAGATCTGTGGTGGAATAAGAAATGGGGGACTTTAGAAAAATCAAGGCAAGAGATTCGAGGGAAAAAAATATACTCTACTTTTGGATGGTCAAAATACAAAGGGACTTGAGCACAAGACGGGCAGAAAACTGGGCCGTTTGAGTTGCCAGCCAGTCACAGATGTTGCTGGACTAGCTTTGGCTTACAGCCAGTCGCTAATATACATAACGTTGTTGAAGTCATTTGGTAACTCATTTGCATTGACTGTGGAGGCAGCGTTGGTGACCAGAGCCTGAGGAGGACAAGGGTGGACAGCTTGCATGCCCAAGGCTCACGAGGAAGAGAAGGAAGGCGAGCAAGGGTTCCCTGGAGCCTCAGTGTGGTGGGAATAGAACATGGGGCGTCATGGCGGTAGGGAGAAAAGCAAGGGTCAGGGACAGGTACCCGGCAGGAGGGGCTAGAGAGGGGAACCTCGGCGGTGGTGAATGACTGTGATTGCAGTGCGGGAGCCGAGGTGAACGGTTTTAAAGAGCAGGGGGCATGAACTGTGGTGAATGAATGATATGATGAGCAGGGGAAGCAAGACTTTGATTAGAAGAGGGGGTCAAGGGAAGAGAGGACGGGCAGGAAGGAAGTGAGAGGGAAGGTCTGGGGAGCCGGAAAGACGGAGCTGACACTCACAAGACAGGAAACGGGAGAGGCGGGGTGATGTGAGGTTGGGAGACAGTTCAGAGCCCATCCTGTGCAAGTCTTACTCTAGGGACCCGAGGAACATCAGAGAGCAGAAGCAAACGTCTGTCTGAGCTTTTTAGTGAGGAGATACTAGCAACACTCAAGGAGCTCACTGAAGAAGCATCTGTGCAGTGTGTCTCGACCATGATTACTCTAGGTATAGGGAGCTCTGGCTGCTGTAACAAGGAATCACAAACCAGCTGCCATAAAACATAGGAGATTTATCTTCTCATAGGTCAGGAGCCAAGAGTCCAATCATTGGGAACAAAGTCAAAACTAGCAGGGCCGCACTCTTTCTGGAGGCTCTAAGGGGATGTCTGCTCCCTGTCTCTTCCTGCTGATATGCCTTGGCTTGAGGCCACAGCACACCAGAGTTTACCTGCAGGTGTGTGTTTATCATGGATTTTCTGCAGCCTTCTCATGAGGGAACTTGGGATTGCATGTAGGGTCCACTCAGGTGGTAAGCTCTCACCTGAGGATAAGAGAGGAGGATGACTCTAGGCCCTCCAAATCCAGGGAGGGAAGACTTGAGGCACCTGAGGTCATGATCAGAGATGCATCACTCCAGAAGGAAGGATGTCTCCCAAAATCAGCAGTGGATTGACTCTAGAAAGTTCCATGGAATTCTAACCCTCGAAACAACATGGTATACTTTGCATGTTGCCTACACACATCTTCTGCCATACTTTCAATCATTGTTAGATGACTTATAATGCCAAAGGCAATGTGAGCACAATGTCAATAGCTGTCACACTGTATTATCTAGGAAATGATGGCAAGGAAAAAAATTCACCCATAAGCACATTCTCAGTACTATTGCTTAAAAGGAAACCCCTAGGTTGGTCAAACTGGAAGATACAATGTGATACAGAGAGAAGGTTGTGGACAAGGATGGAGAATCTAATGGGCAATGGACTTTAACCTCATTGGTATATAGAAAGTGGAATTTAGAAGACAAAATAGCAGAGTGTCTTCTCAGAGGAACCCAGACACTTGGGCCAGAGTCTGATCTCAGCTAACTCAATGACAATATTCCACTCGGAAGCCACGCCAGTGCCGGGACGCCACGCTCTGCCGCTAGCCACCTCTCCGGTGACCATATAGTTCCAGGGCTTTGTAGATGCCTTGTATACAGACAGTCTAGATGCTCAGGATCTCTGAATCCATGAGCCATGCCTGTTGGCTAGTCTCAGTGCTAAGAGTCTCATCGTGAGAAACAGCCCATCACATATTTGAACACAGGTCCCCATTGGTGGAGCTGTTTGGGGGAGGGTCTGGAACCTTTAGAAGGTGGAGCCATGATGGAGGAAGTCCATCACTTGGGCTGTGCTTCAGGGTGGAGAGCTTCTCTCTGCTTCCTTTCTCTCTCGGTTTTCTATGTGCAGATGAAAACGGGATCCATCAGTGTTCCGCCCCTGCCACCAAGCTATGCCTCCCCTGCCATTATAGACTCTTCCTCATGGAGCATAAGCTAAGAAAAACCCTTTCTTCTCCCCCACCGTTTTTTGTCCAATTGTCTTATCACAGCAACAGAAAAGCAGCATCAGGTTACTCCCTAAGTCCCATGTGCTCACAGCCAAACCAGAAGATGGTTCACTTCTTGAACATATCCACGACCCTTGTTAGCTCCCGTCATTCCATTTGATAAACCCATAACCTCCCTAGACTTTTTATAATGCCCCTATTGTAATATTGTGGCCAGATCCACAGTAGATTAAAACTGCCTTTTTCGAGATTGGGCTCCTATGTTATGTCATGTACCATGTGCTAACAGAGCCTATTTCCCTGATTAGATGCAGCTGTCGGGTGACGTAACCAGAAAGACACGTCCTCCTGGAGTTTTATCAGTATCAAAAAAAAAAAAAAAAAAGATGAAGAAGCAGCCAAGCCCGTTGGGTGACTCTGCAGGACCGGCATTCTACATGAGTCATAACCGACAAAAAGGCATTGTATCTGGTTGACAATTGTCAACTGTGAACAAAAACTGAAACCTGACCTTGCCCAGCCTGTGAAATCACCACGTGACTACATGGGGGGGGGGATAATCCCCATGTGTGGCTAATTTCTCTCCATGGACGTATTCAGTTTTAGATTGGCTGCACTGTTATGGCTGAGGTGGCCGTATGAAAATGGTTGTGAGTTTTAAATCTCAAATGAAGTGAGCCTGCTCTGTAATTCACGGGGTAGAGGCCCCCACCGTACGCGTGCTAAGAATGGGGTCTGTCTGCATCTCTCTCATCCCCAGCTTTCTCAAAGGCCCTTGCTACCACCTGAAGGTTTGTCCTCCCAAGAGTCAGGCTGAAATCTGAGGCAACCTCCAAGGGGGCGGTGATAGAAGCGGAGTCTTTAGCGTGTCACTGGGTTATGAAGGATGAGCCTTCCTGAATTATGTGAGCGCCCGCAAAAAATCATGACAGGAAAGCTCACTTGTCCTGTATAGGAAGAAGAGTTACCGGACTTGGGGGCTACAACCAGTACCCCCAGGAATCTGATAACGCTGTAAGAATCCAACTAAAACATCTAAATTAAGAGTTTAAAAAAATAGTCAGGAAAAAGGGGAATGTATTCAGTGAGTAAAGGGACAAAGGACCTCTCTCAAGTCCGTGCTCTGGCCCCTGAAGTGAGATTAAAGGTTAGAGTCAGGGTATACGGCCATCCACGCAGTCATGGCCATGGTGTCCCTGGCCCTCACCGACCCACCACTGTCTGGACTCCCGTCCCTCCAACAAGGTGCTCTGGCAGCTGCCAGCACTGAGAGACATCTGCTTCCAGGAGGCCAAGCTCCCTCTCTGGCTGGCACCAGCCTTTTGCTTCTCCTCACATGAGATCCTTAGGGGAATTCCAGTCTCTCGATGTCTCTTGTTTCCCCATCTGGCAGTAGGATGGAGGAAAAGAGTTACAGAAGCAGATGTCCGCTGGATGTCAAATCATCACATGTGCCCAAGCCCCTAGAGCCACAAGAAACACGCTCCTCTTCCAGCTCCCCGGACAGTCTACTTCTGAGTAAAGCAGGCTTCGCAAAATGCAAAGAGGGCTCCCCCGACCCAGGTGCTATCTGCTCCCACTTCCGTGGGCTGAGCCCCAGCAGGGCCCCCAGTCTCAACCTTCCTCTGTTTCTCCGCAGCCTTGGCCTCATACCAGCTGTTCTGACCCCGAGAGGGTGGGGCAGGGAGCAGGATTAGACACTCCATCGGGGTCTGAAGCATGAGCCCGAGAGCTACTGACACCAAGAACCTTAGGCCCCTGTTTTGATGAAACCTTGTTCAACGCTTCAGTCCCCGCCGAACCGTGTGATGCGTGACTCTCCAGCAGTTTACTTGGATGTCTGAAGATGTAATGAGAGCTGTCTGGTGAAGATGATGGATTGTTCGTGACTCCATCGTCACTGAACCGAGTGCTGTATGTTGTCCTACCTAATCCTGCTGCAGTCTAATCAAACAGCTATTTATCTTTCTCATCTTATGGATGAAGAACTTGGGGCTCAGAAAGCTTCCCATTATAAAGAAGCAAAGTCAAGGGCAAAGGATGGATCTGCTTAGACTGGGTTGCTCATTCTCCAAGTGCCGCCCTTAGACCACAAATATCAATACTACCTCAAGCTTTTCCAAACCCCAAAATCAAGGCCCCCACCACGGACACCTACAAAATCTCCTTTTCATATTGAACCTCACTGATTTTTAGGCTATTTTCTAGTCACCGAGTTTGAGAACATTAGTTCTAGAGCAGCCAGTTAGAAAGTATTTGATTAACCACTAACCTTAGGCACCACTGAGCCAAATAGCAGAGCTGGTAAGTGATTGATGCCATTCAAGCCAGAAAGGCAACCTTTTTTTTCTTTCTTTTTGGCTTGTTAGTCTCTATCATGTGAACGGGGTAGAACAAAATCTAACTGGAGTATTGAAGCCCTGATACCCATGTGGACTGGCTATTATGACTGTCATTGATCCAGGAGTCCTTGAGGTCAAGAACCCCGCCCACTGCCATTGCTGATGTGTCTTGTATCTCACTGCATTCTCCCTGTGGGTGTTGTAACCCTGGTGATCAGGTCGGAGCTGCATAACCCTAAGTGATCTTTACAGGTGCTGGGAAAGGTGTTTGTGTAGATTCTCACGCCAAATCCACCCGTGATTTCCCCTTTTTAGTCAATGGGTAAGATCATGAAAAAATGTACTCTTCTTGTGTGTGTGAGTAGGTATGTACATGTATGGATAGTACATGACTCTGTGTGTGTTTGTGTGTGTGTGTGTGTGTGTGTCTGTGTGTGTGAGTAGGTATGTACATGTGTGGGTAGTGCACGACTGTGTGTGTGTATGTGTGTGCGTGTGTCTGTGTGTGTGAGAGTGGGTATGTACATGTGTGGATAGCATATGACTTTGTGTGTGTGCGTGTGAAAGAGAGAGAGAGAAAGAGAGAGAGAGAGTAGGTATGTACATGTATGGGTAGTACATGACTCTCTGTGTGTGTGTGTGTGTGTGTGTGTGAATGGGTATGTACATGTGTGGGTAGCATATGACTCTGTGTGTGTGAGAGAGAGAGAGATAGAGTGGGTATGTACATGTATGGTTAGTACATGACTGTGTGTGTGTGCATATGTGTGTATCTGTGTGTGTGAGTGGATATGTACATGTATGCGTAGTACATGACTGTGTGTGTGTGTGTGTGTGTGTGTGTGAGTGGGTGTATACATGTATGGCTAGTACATGATTATGTGCTGTGTCTGTGTGTGTGAGTAGGTGTATAAATGTATGGATAGTACATGACTGTGTGTGTGTGTGTGTCTGTGTATGTGTGTGTTTCTGTATATGTGTACACCAGATACACATGTTGCTGCCAAGGAAAACATTAGGCGTCCTGCTCCACCAACTCTATCTTATTCCTTTGAGACAGGGCTTTTCCCTGATCCTGGTAGGCTGGTGGCCAGCAAGTACCTGCAATCCTCCTGTCTCTGTCCCTCCACACGGGTACATGTGTGGCCACACCCAGCTTTTTATGTAGGCTCTCGGATTTGAACTCACATCCTCATACTTGTGCACACATACTCTTAGCCACTGAGTCATTTCCCCATCCTGATCATCATCTTGAGTCAGACTTGTAAATTTTAACTTCTCAAAGCAATCAGAGCTTCCCATAAAATGCTGCCTTGGAACCAGGAGCTGTGCTCCCCCAGTGTGGACCGTGTGAAGCTGGCTGTTTGTATGAGTGGTGACACCAGAACTGCAGTAGCCGGAAAGGCCTTGTCCATCACAGTCAACAAGGCTCCGTGACTACAAATGATGCACCGAGTGGCGTTAAACCCTGCGTCAGCTTCCTTGCCCCAGACTGGTCTTCCAAACTTGCTTTCTTATCTGGGGAATACGAATCCCGTCTTTAGACGCAGCATGTAGGGAATAAAGGCAGGCTCAGAAACCACGGCCTTACACGGAAGCTGGCTATTTTTTCTGGCAGGTTACACATTGCACACATCCACTGGCTACTCAGGGACTCTTTCAAACACCTCACGCAGCAGCTCACCAACAGGGTCGTAGTCCAGCGGCTTGCTACGCAAACTGTGACAGTGAGTGTGGCTGCCTGGACTGTGTGGCATGGAGTCTGAATTACCTCATACCTGGAGACGAGCAGGCCCTCCTGGTGAAGGAGTGAGCGAGCAACCCCGCTTCTTTCCTCTCATGAAGTCCCATTAACTCCTGCTTCCAACTTTCGATACTCCCTGTCTTTGGCAAGGAGTGTCACCAACACAATGACACAATGTTCTGCCTGTTTGCATTACCAAACAGAGGAAGTGCCACGGGGAAATGGGCTGCTCATAAAAAATGACTTCAGACACTTGTTACAGACGTGACAAACACCACGCCGATGTCCATGTGTGTGGGGCTCTAGTCTCATTTTATATGGAAACAAGCTGGACAAGACGGCAGGGGTGGCAGGACTCCAATTTCAGCTTCTAAGTAACGCAAGCATATGGATGCCCTATGAGAAATCCTCCCAACTTCAGTCTCCTTCATACTTGGAGTGTCTGTGTGCATATACGTGTGCATACATACGTAAATATGCAGATATAAATATGTATATGCATGCGGGCTGGGGTGGGTCCATGCGGCAACCCCACCTCCCCAGAGGAGGTTAACCAGTCCTGCCCATGGTATTACAACAGAATTCAGATGGGTGTTGTCTGATATTAGTTATTTCTTAGAAATTAGACTATGTTAAAAGATTCCTAAGCATTGCAAGTTGTCTGAAAGGAAAAATGAAACCGCACAAAGACTTGTTAGGTGGTGAAAGCTTTACCAGCTAATTCACCTTTCTAAAGTAAACAGTCTTCCCTCTGTACACACAGACACACACACACACAGACACACGCAGAATAGGCCTCTGTACACACAGACACACACACACACAGACACACGCAGAATAGGCCTCTGTACACACAGACACACACACACACAGACACACGCAGAATAGGCCTCTGTACACACAGACACACACACACACAGACACACGCAGAATAGGCCTCTGTACACACAGACACACGCACACACAGACACACGCAGAATAGGCCTCTGTACACACAGACACACGCACACACAGACACACGCAGAATAGGCCTCTGTACACACAGACACACACACACACACACACACGCAGAATAGGCCTCTGTACACACAGACACACACACACACACACACGCAGAATAGGCCTCTGTACACATAGACACACACACACACAGACACACGCAGAATAGGCCACACACTCACAGATGCAGACATACGCACAGCACACTACACACACTCGCTTGCTCTCTCTCTCACACACACACTCACACACAGATACACACCACACACATTCACTCAGAGACACCACACAGACACACACACATTCACACAAACACACACTCCCACACATTGAAACGTACAGTCACACAGACACACCATACATACACACACACACGTTCACACACATGCACATTCACACACAGATACAGACACACCATGCACATACTCACATACACAGTCACACAGAGACATATATCCACCACACACATTGACATATAGTCACAGAGACACACTGTACACACACACACATGCACACACACACACACACGAGTATGAGAATCCCTTAGCAATACCATTTCTTCTTCACTGTCACAGTCATGGCCAGTGGGGTAAGGAGTGGGGTAGGAGTGGGGTAAGGGGTAAGGAGTGGGTATGACAATCAGCGGGGCCGGGCTGAGGACAGATGGCGCGTCCCCACAGAAGTGTGCTGGGGGATTCCTGTCCTGGTTTTGACATTTGATTTTTTTAACCTTTTACTGAAAATAGATTTTTTTCTCACACAGCGTGCTCCGATGGTAGCGTCCCCTCCCGCTTTTAGTTTGGAATTTCACTGCAGGTGCTCACAGGATGCCCGTGGAAGGGACGCTGGTGTGGGAGGAACTGGTGGGTGCAGCAGGGAGAGAGACTCTCAGAACCCACCCTCTCTGCCCCTCGTCTCTCCCTGGGGAGCCTGATGCCCTGTCTCTCTGGTTGGTCTTGGCTGTCACATCCAGGAAGGAGCCCAACATGGGCTGAAACAGATTCATTCACATGGTCCTCTCCCCTCCTAACACTGGCTTTTAGTGGCTTCAGGGACTGTGACTTAAATCACCCTGAATTCCATCCCTTCTGCTGAACCCTAATGACTAATCTGTCCTTTCTTCCGCCAAGAAGAGAGGATGTCCCTCGTCATCCCTCTACTTCCTGTGGCCAAGATCAATTCCACTGATATTTATTAACCATCTCCTGCTAGCGAGAGAGCAGGCACGCGGCACTGACGCCATGTCTGCTCTTGCCAACTCCCCCAGCCCACCCCCGTCCTCTTCGGCTCTCTAAAACAAGCAGCCCGGCTGCTCTCTTTTGAACTCAGAAAATATTTTCTCAGAGGCAGACCCCTCTTTCCTGTCTTTAAGCTCCCTGTAAATTTACTAGATGATGCACTCTCATCTAATTGGCCAAACTCAACTTTAAACATTTTATTTGGGGAAACAAATTATTAGTTCATTTTTTAAAAAAAGTCCCACTTTTCTGCTTATTCTTTTAGACTTAATTTTTGGAGCACCAACTGGCAATCAGAATTTTCTATGAAATAATTGCAGTGGGAAAAGATCCCTGTAACTGTGGAGAAACCCTACAACCTTGTCCCTGAGTTTTAGAGAAATGGAATTTGAATCTAATGGTTATTAATAACAGAAACGAGAGTTCCTTATTTGTTGGACCCATCATCTCCTGCAAGGAACAAATTTAAGATGTCTGCCCTTTATAAGGGTTTCAAAGCAATTTAGAGAAAAATAAAAAATAAAATGGAGGTCTGGGTCAGAACGGAGTTTGCTGAGGTAATCAAGTTCTTTCCCCAACCGCTATGTTTTATAATGAACTCATAGGATGCCATTTTACGCCCTTCGTGTTAGTGCAAAAGTTATGTAAGCTTACAAAGTGCAAGCATGCTTTCTTTCTCCTTCCTTCTCTCCCCTTTGGCTGGCTGGTGACTCCATCTTTATTGTTGTTTGGTTGAGTCACCTTATAATGTTATAAGATCTTGTAGGAACGCATTCCTGGATGAACAAAACCCTTCTGAACTTCTGGGAACCTTACCTTTGTGAGCGAGCCTGATTGGCATGAGGAGTGCACACACAGCCTCATGTTCTTGAAGCACAGTTTTTACGAGGGAAGTCATCATCAAAGCTAACAGGATGACTGGTGCGGAGCCTGCGCAGGACACCCAGCCTCCCCTCTGTTGTTTTAGTCAGCAGCTGCTCAGCCTGTTTTTCCCATCACCCGTTGGGATTGCGTTAGACAGAAATCCACCTTATAAAAAAAAAACATGAAAACTGAGAACAGGGAAGCAAGCAGCGGCCACGGGAGGCAAGCTGCTGTCATCCTGGGCTCTGCTCCCAGCCTTGGCACCTGCCCAGTGGGGGCTGCATTCTCTGCCCAGCAGGGAGTTCCAGATGACCTGCTGAGAAGGTCCCAAGTGAGTCACTGCCCTTAACTCCACTGGAGCCGTTTGATGCCCACTTGGATGACTCTGAACAGCTGCCTGGCTCTGAACCCAACTAGTAACTGGAAATGTGGCCATTGTCTCACTTATTTTTAAACATGGAGTCGGGGGGGAGAGACAGAAAGGCACAAACCCAATCAAGAAAGACGGACA